GAGTTACAAAGATGACCCGCTGTTCGATCCGCGCTGTCATTTAGTCGTCGTAAATCGCATGATTGAGCAAAATACCGACTATCGATTCAATCCGTCGCTGCAGCTGGCGTGCGGGAAAAATATCGATCGTTATTGCTCGCATATTGTGGCAACGGCACAGCCGAATGAGGAGTTGAACGGCATGGTAAATTTTAGCAGATGATAAACACTGCATTGTTATAATTATTATTTCGCATCACATCGTATGTATTTTAGGTCATACAATGCTTAAAAGACAAATTCCGCGAATCCCGTTTAGATTATGATTGCACCCAAGAAATGATCAAAATACTGCAGGAACAAGCCTTAAACTACAAGCTAAACCCACTGCTGCAGAACTTCTGCAAATCTGAAATAGAAGTACTTTGCAAGGCGAATCAACAAAGCCGGGAGCATGGCATGGTTGAGGAATGTTTAAAAACGGCTTTCCTTAATCACAAAATTATAAATCGTGATTGTCGCGTTGAAGTTGCTACGTTGATAGCTGAAGCCAAGGCCGACATTCACGTAGATCCTATACTGCAGGAGGCGTGCACTGTAGATTTGCTACGTTATTGTTCGAATGTGCAAAGTGGAAATGGACGAAGTAAGTTGACAAGCAAATTAATTATATACTATAGATCGCTTTGTATATTTTCCTAACGCTATTGCAGAATTAAGATGTTTACAAGTCTTACTGAAAGACCAGTCAAAGGCCATGGACCAGGATTGTCGTATGAAGTTACAGAAACGTATAGAAATGTTCCGCAATGCAGATACGGTAAAAGTAATAATTTTTTTTGTACATTTTAAATTATTACATTAAGAAATTGCAGGTGCTCGCTCAACCTCCGGAAAATATGGAAGAGCTCGTTAGTCAAGTTGTCGCGTCGCCAGCGAAAAGATTCTTCTTTATTGTTTTAATATTTTCCATCGGAATGTTCTTCTTAATGGGTATTTTTCTTGGACGTATAACTAAACGTGCAATCAATATTAAAAATAAATAAACGTCCAATAGAATAGGAAAAATGTGTGACACAACAATCATATTTGCTTCCACCTTCCTTCAATTGCATAAAAACTAAAAACCCCCGTTCCATTATCTTTTGCCACGCGCATTTGTAATTTCAATTTGCAAAATTTTTCATATTCAATCCTATTTTACCTTTCCTATTCTTATTGCAATAACTTCTTAACTTATACACTTAGTTGGAACTAAGTACAGGAAAATTGTTAATCGAATTCGTTTCAGTATGCAAAGTGAATATCTTTAAGTTCTTTTATTGTAAAAGCTTTTCTGAATATATTTTTTATATGTATAGCAGAATGCTTAACAGAAATGTAGAATATATTGTTAAATGTGCTTAGTATAATAGAATACGATAGTCAAGGCTTTACATTAATAAATACTTTTTTATAAATTTTAAAATTGCTCACCTCAATTACGAAATCAATTTATGTTGTTTATAGAAAATGGTCAAGATTTGGGACCAATTTAGGATTTGAAACATTGAATATGCGCTTTATAGATTATAAAGTGCAACGCTCAAAAAGTGAGGGGGATGAAATGCAATAATTTGCATTTACTTTAGGGGGGCGCGCGGTGGTTAAAGTATTAAAGTATAAATAAACACCTAAGGATTTTTAAGGTTATCTGTTCGTCAGAATATTTTTTTTTAGTATGTATGTTACCGCATAACTTTGGACCACGTTACCCGATTTCTATAATTTTTTTAAAGGAAAGGTGTTACCTCACAGGTGGTACCATTCTAATTTGGTTTAAATCCGATCATTGGTCATGAAGAAATTAACGATAATCTTAAATTTTTGTATGAGAATCGAAATCGATTTTTTTTTTGCTTAAAAATTACTTGTATGAAGTTGTAGATAAAATAAATGCAATGCTCCAGATTAATCTTTTTTTTAGGAAAGTTTTATAATGAAGTGCACTTTTTAGGTGTTTAATTTTTTTTCTGACATTTCGAGCGCACTTTAGTTTTTAGTATGGTGTTCTTTTTTTGTAATTTAAAGCTACTTCCTAATTCTGTATAAGAAGAACTAATTGGCTAGCAAAATCGTATGGTGTTATGTGGAAGAAACTACCAGAAAAAAAATATTAAAAATCAATGGGTTATAAAATTGCATACCTAAAATTTTTCTAAAATTAAGAAAAGTTGTTTGTTTAATTTTTGGCGACATGGCAACATGCATGGTTTTGACAGCTGTCAAATTATTTTCTCATTTTTAGTTCCCTATTTTATTGCCATTTTCACTTTGGCTTCCTTGTTCGTGATTTTTTTCGGAATTTTAGCTTGGTTTTGTTTGTCGTTGAAACAATAAAAAATTGGTGAAAATATCAATAATCTAGCCGAAAGTGCATAATTAATTAAGAAAACGGCGTGTGTATAAAGTATAAATTTTATGAGTATACAAAAGGAAAAATAGTGTTCAGAAATAAATTGAAAGGGCACGGGTTAAAAAAAGCATAGAAATTGGGTATTCGTGGGCAAAAGAAGAAAAAGTTGCGAAAATAACATTTTCGGCTTTCCAAGCAACAGTGGTGTTGCACAAAATTTGAAGCAATCACTGAGTGTCGACGTTTTAGCAGCATTGGCTGCCTATAACGGTTAAAAGAAATGGGCTACGATTTGCATCGCTTTCAGGGCGAAGTCGACGAAGAACTCACTTGCCCCATATGTTCCGGCGTGCTGGAGGAGCCGCTACAGGTCAGTAACCGCTAACAGAAGCCATTACTTGAGGGAGTTAAGCAATTTTATACAGCATGAATTACACTACTAGCTAAGAATGCGGCTAAGATTTATTACATTGATTGTCTTTTCATTTATCTTCATAGGCGGCAATGTGTGAACACGCCTTTTGCCGTGCGTGCATCAATGAATGGCTCACGCGCCAGCCCACCTGCCCAGTCGACCGCAACACATTAAACACTGCAAATCTGCGCGCTGTGCCGCGCATACTTCGCAATCTACTTTCACGGTAAGTATGGCGACGCCCAACCGAAAGTAAAATCATATACATGCATATCTGTAACTTATGAAATTTCCATATGCATTTTGCACATTCCTCTAGACTTTCCATTACCTGTGACAACGCACCATATGGTTGCACCCTAGTACTCAAGCTGGACGCACTCAATTCACATTTGGAAGAATGTGAACATAACCCCAAACGTCCATTGCCATGCGAAAAAGGTTGCGGCTTCGTCATACCCAAGGATGAACTAAAGGATCACAACTGTTTGCGCGAATTGCGTTCTATGATACATCAGCAACAATTAAAAATGGGAGAGCTTAAGACAGAGATTGCTGACCAAAATTTGGCAATCAACGAATTGAAACGTGAGTTGCAACTTTTTAAAGACTTTATGCGCGCAATGCGCGTCTCAAATCCAGCCATGCGAGCTATTGCCGATCAAATGGAACGGGATGAAGTTATACGCTGGAGCTCGACACTGTCAAGGGCGCGCGTAACACGCTGGGGTGGTATGATCTCAACACCAGACGATGCACTACAGGTGAGCAAATTCATAGATATGAAACAATGCGAGATTGAGTTTTTGAATATTTCTAATGAGTTGATTATTTATGTTCAGATGATGATAAAACGTGCTTTGTCCGAGTCTGGCTGCCCGCCACATATTTTAGACAATCTAATGGAGAATTGCCACGAAAGACGCTGGCCGCGTGGCTTGAGCTCTTTGGAGACCCGTCAGAATAATAGACGCATCTACGATAACTACATTTGCCGGCGTATACCGGGTAAGTTATACGTAGGAAAGATTTATTTACTACTGAAGTTTCAAGCATTGATCAATTCTTAGGTAAACAAGCTGTGCTGGTTTTAAGCTGCGATAATGCTCACATGTCCGAGGATGTAATGGTCGAGCCAGGCTTGGTAATGATTTTTGCTCATGGCATAGAATAAATAAACACACACTATAGAGAGTTGCACACGATTTAAAAGATTTATTTAAAAAGGCAAGTAAAAAACATGCAAATAAGGAAAACTAATAAATCAACTATAAAAAATATGTACACAGCGGAAATACCTATTAATCCGAGCTTGAGTCAGTGTGAATATGCGAATTTCGCTTTTAATCAAACGACTACGAAATTGTGCGCGACACATTGATATGCAAGCCAAATTTCAGGTGCATACTTATTATTTGTTCAAGTCTTTAGCAGGCTTAAAAAATTTCCTAACAATTTTATTATTGAGATTTTCCTTAAGTTGATTATAAATTTCAACATTTTCGATTAAAGTTAGAGATTTATTTTAACAACACGATTCTTAATTTTAATGCTTAAAATCAATTGTTATGTTAGCATAATAATGTTTACAGTGTCTTAATTTGGCAGCAAAAAAAGCTTTATCAGTTAGTCAGGGTTTATTTCGATTTGATTATATGTGGCACTTTCTAATACTATATTCATGTAAAGGAGTATACATTTCGTTAGAATATAACAGAGAGGGTCTGCCATATCCCACACTCTTAAGTATAAATTTAAAAATTGTAGTTGTAAGCGCACTGATTTGAATTACCAGAAATTAATTTCAACATTATTGTCTCATCAACTGCGAAACTATGACATGTTCACGCTCAGTGGTTCTTAAATGTATTAGTCCATATGGTTAGATAACATTGTTTCACTCAAAAGGAAAAGCTCATAACGTCAGCTTGGAGCTAAGGATATTTTAAAATATTATTATATTTACAATATCTGCTTGAAATAACGTTTCGCTTTCTTAATAACATAACAGTTGTCCATAAAATAATGAGAGAGAGATTTTGACCAGTTTTTACTATTTTTCTTTTGCTTATTTAATGTTAATTATTATTATTTTTTTTTAAGTCTAGCAGGTTATGCGACAAACACCATATAAATCCACATTTAAAACTTTGTACAAAAACTAAAAATTCGTCAAATTTTCACCAAAAATTTCAAACTTTTTAATCAGAATCTTTACACAAAATTCGTATGCATGTTTATAGCCCACTAAACTTTATTATTAGAAAATGCATGTTTCATGTTGGTAAAAACTCCCGTTGATTTTCAAGACTTTTTTTGTTGAAGGTGTTTCGCATTTTTTCCACACAAGTAATTTTCTTTTATATGGAAGACAATGCTAAAAAATCAACGATATTTTTAGCAGCATGAAACTTGCTCATCATTACACTACAATTTAATAGGCTACAAAACTGCATTTGACATTTTGGTGAAACTTTGTAGAATTTTTATAATTTTTGTACAAATAACATCAAATAAAAAGAGAAATTGGACTTGTTCGAGGTTCGTAATAAAATCGGCAAGACTGCAGCACTGATGAAAATGTGCAACACTGTTGCAAATTCTCAAGTGATACAACATTGCTAGAATTTAACACCGAACGTGATACTTTAATGATTCGCGCAATACTGCAGTTCTGATTGCAACTCGAACAAGCTCATTGTCAGAACAGGTCAAGGCATCGGACCTCTTTTGTTCCGTGGACAAGTGTAAATATTTTAGCCCTACCCCATCTTCAAATACAACTGAAACTTAACGCAAGCTGATATTTTAAATCCGTCTAAGACGTAAAATATTATGCATACTTTGTATTTGTAGTCTTATTTAAGCGATCTCAGACCGTAAATCAATTTTGTGTTAGTAAATAATATTAAAAAATCAACTACATCAAAGTTGGTGTTCAATACGATCTACATAGTACATACATAGTTAAATATATTGGCGCCGGTTTAATTACATAAATAGTACTGCATTTTTTTGTAAGCGAGCGACAAAAGAACGCTCAATTCGGGTAAAAATTTCCTTTTAGCTACTTAAGCAACCCTGTTGGTAGCTGATAAGAAACGTGTGATTTGTTTAACGGGATTTAAATACAAAAACCAATTTGATTGAGTAATTATGCGAGGTATTCGCGTAATATATATACTTGTTTAAAACATAAGTCACGTATACAAGGAAACAAAAATTTCCCTCTCCACTTTCCCATTAACAATTCGCAATAGAGCAGTTTTTTTCACTTAACAACACTACCCTTCAGGTCGCGTATTTTTTAACCGACCTGGTTGAGCTCGGATAAATAGCCGAGTTTGCGTTGTTGCTTTGCGTGTATTTTGTCATTTAAGCGAGTGTTCTTTTGTAGCTCGGTTGCAAAAGAATGCACCTAGTACTTTACACATTTACAGAGTTCTTGATCAGATATGTAGATAGTGTAGAGTATACCTACAGATTTCTATATATTACTATTACTATTCAAATGCACACGTTTATGTAGATATAAACAATTTCATAATGCACTTTGTTAAGCCAATAGATAAATATGTATATCTGTGCCGGTTTGTTATTTGATACGCATACACATTTATGTATGTAATTAGAAAATCAATTACTACAGAAGAATTTCATGTATGTACTACGCTATTTTCGAATTTTTGAAGTCGCTAATTTTTTGCTTTTATTACCGATATATGTAATACCTAAACATATTAAAATAATAAGTCCAAATAAAGATATACAAAAATGCAACTCAGTTATTTAGTTCACATGAATTTAATAGCTAAATATTTGATTAAAATTGTTAAAATTTTTTCAACTCCAGAGCTAATTTTTATGTCCGCTGTAGAGAAAAAGTTATCCATTTAAATTTTAACGGCTTTAATTTATCGCGGACTTCCTCGTTTTGATCATGTCTTCTTCCGCTCTATTAAAATACTCAATTCTCTTTCAAATATCTATATATCTTCTCTTGCAAATATCTATATATCTTCTCTCTACTATTCCCCTTTTCTTCCACTCACTGCTCACTGGTCTTTCCCACTATGATCAAGCTCTTTACTTAACTTCCCTGCAGAAAATCTGACTAGCCTCAAACTAGCGTAGAACTAGACCTTTTGCCGACAGTACCAGTTCTAGCTCAATACCCAAGCAATGCTTTCGACTGCCCAGTTTTACACGGCGATGTCATTGGCGGTGGCAATTGTCGCCCAGTGCATTACTTTGCAACCGGTATTTAACCGGTTCCAGTTTGGACAGTTTTTTTTTTATAAGAAAACGTTTTTGCGATTCGACTTTTGGACATTTTTTTCGTTTTTTCTTTTCCTTTCCAGATTCCGTTTTTGTTACATATTTTATTAAAAAAAATATATGTATTGTAAGCTGCATGCAACAATTTAAATTCATTAAATTTGAAAATTCACAACTGCCTCCACCGCGATTTGAACTCGCGACCAACGGTGGTTGAGTCGGAGGTCTTCTCGCTGAGCTTCATTCGTAGTGTACAAGTAGTGAGCATTTGCACATTTATACCGCAAGTTTAAACTGTCCCGCTCTGCATTCCTTTTGCACTGGTTCAGAGATAGTTCTGAGATATTTAGTTCGCAACTAGAGCTTTGTCAGACTGTCTCTAAATTTTACTGCAGGGTTACTACTACTATACACACACGCGCACACTTGTTGCTTTATTCGTTTATTTATCGCTGGCTTCAAAGGAAAACCCCAAAACTAGTTTTCTTCCTTAATGAGCTGAGAAAACCAGTTCACTTATTGCTGGTCGCTAAGTCGCCGCACTGTCCATTGCTTCGATTTTGTAGTGTAGCCCTGCTACCTTGCCTCCATTGGCTTTGCGATTAGAGCTATGGTTATTTTAAGGCATAGCTATTGATTGTTTGTTTGAGACTGCGCAACCTTCTGGTCTTCCCCCAGCATTCGGACGAGTTCGTTAGTTAGACAGTAAATTTGCTTGAGATGTTGCGCGTGTTGAGCATAACGTTACGTTTGTAGATTAAGTACACTTACCCATATACATATATGTATGTATGTATGTGGAGGCAAAAAGGTTGTATGAGATTTGGTTTTGACTATGATATGTATTTTCAAAAACTGTCGAATATAATACAAAACTTTAAATTTTTGCTTATCAGAAACGCTTTGGAAATCGCTAAATTCCCTACTTTAGCGAATTTAATTTCCTATCTTTTTACGTTACCCCTTTCTAAATGCAATATTAAACACCTTCCGCTTCTACATATATCACTACATATTGTTAAATGCCGACACTAAGCCGCTCAGTGTTACCTTTTCTGGTTATTTAGCCGCTTAGCGCTGACCATAAGTGGCAGCTAGAAAAAGCGAGAGTTGTCTGCGACTCAGTCAATGACTCAGGCGATAGTCTGGGTTTGATCGTCGCTTTGTGAAGACTAACTACTGGGACGTTGTGCAGAAACTTCCGCACACACTTCAAAGCGGAGAGCATACATATGTATATTCAGCTTAATATGAATTTCTTAATAACTGCGGTTTTAACACTCATAGCGACACACGGCAGCGCGTCCAGTTTAAATGTTGTTAGTGACGATAGCATAGCCAGTGCCCCATTGCGTGAGTAAAAGCAAAAAACACCTGCATACGCAACAGAAATATAACTAAAATTACTTGCATTCCTCTTTTTTGCCTTTGCAATAGCTGCCACTGGCGCTGCTGTCGATGAAGTGGTAGTCGAATCTTCGCTCTACATCAAACCAAAAACCAATTTGAAACCACAGGTGCGACGTGTGCGTAGCATACCTTTTGATATGCCTTTAAATGACGCTTCATTGCTGGAGCACGTGCGTGTTAAGCGTCGACCACAATTCCAGCCCCTCACACCACAATATGGACAATCGCAGGCTACCGCTGATGCCTCAGCCTTTGATAGAAAAGGCCCAAACTCGGCCGCTTCGAATGCTGGTTCACAGGCGTTCAATGCTTTTGGGCCAAATGGATCGTTTGGCGCCTCTTCAGCGGGCACCTTAGCCCAAACCTCGCAGTTGGGATCGCATGGCTTTCAAAATTCCGCCGGCGCTTCGATGAGTCAAATGTATCGGCTACCCAATGGACAGGTAATCAACTTTGCCAGCACAAACAGTTTTGCTAATGGACCCTTCGAAAATAATGCCAACAGTCGCGGATCTGCAGTGTCTGTAGGTCAGGCTTAAAGTTTTCAGTACTTGAACAATTTAAACGTGCAATTGATTTTGATTTAAGTTAAAAGATAATATTTCGCAAGTAGAAGGAGTTTGCCAGTAGGTTTGAAAATGTATTATTGCAAGGTTATGATAAAGTCCTTAGTCACCGTTGTCGCGTAATTTAAGTGGTGGAGCTTCGGATTTAAATTTGATACCACTGCTGTGCTTACAAATAAAGTAAAACATGCTGCAATTACATTTTTTTGTTGTTTATTTTCTTTTTTTTGCGGCCACTTGCCAAGTCGCGTATGCTTCAAATATGCAAATGTATACTAAATACACAAAAAACTACAACTAACGATAAGAGAATTCCATATATTAGATAATGTATTTCTTATGATCAAGCAAATTTAATCCGACTCGCTTTCACTTTCCGACTGGAAATCGCCTACTTCAATGGAGAACTTATACTCCTGATCGCAGCCCAAATATGAATCACTCATATAGTACAAAGTGTACTCATGACGGCCAGGGCTAGGCGCAACGAAATCCAATTTTATTTTCGCCTTCTGCTGTAGTGTCAGCCGCTTAATCGATAGCAAGGAATTAGTTTTTGGATCACCAATCACCACCCACCAACCTTCCTCACGTTTCTATAGCAGAAAGGTGTAGTTATAAATTAAGTTAAAAAAAAACCGGACTTCTCTATCATACCTGTGGGAAGAATGGCGCTATGACCGGGCCTGTAACTTCATCTTCACGCTCTAGCTGCACAACAACGTTCACCGTCGAACCGGAATTTATGCGATCCTTATCCAGCACTTCGAAGTTCATTTCTATGTTCGGATAACGATTACAGAAGCGCGCCACATCAGCCATTTGTGCGTCGGTCAACTGCAGCAGTCGAGAGCGATCATCATCCTCCAACTCCATAATGTCGAAAACAGTTTCGATTTTCTGAAAATCAAATGAATTATCAAATATAATAAGGTTTGCCAAGCTCAAGACCTATTTGAACATACCTTTTCAGCGCAACGCTTAATGATATCGGCTGAGAAGTGCGGCAGCTGTTTCAAATACGAATCTTTACTCCACATGGCTTGTGTTACCATTTGTGCCAGCTCCATAGCGGCTACAGCCGGCGAGAGCCAACCATTAGAGCTAAGCACATCGACACAGGCCTGAATGAGGCGAATAGCCTTGCCCAAAATCAACTCTGTGTCGCCTTGCAATTCGGGTCCCAATTGTAGACGCGATAAGTGGGCTTGTAGCAACAGGTTTGTCTTGATGTGGGGATCGTTGAATCTGCGTTAAATAAAATAATATTTCTTAAATACTTGTATTTTTGAATGCTACCAAGCAAAGCTAAGATTAGGGGTGTGTTCAGAAATGCATCAAGCCAAAGCATCAGACGCTTTTATTTCTAAACCATAATTGATGGAAATATCCAATATGCGCAACTACGGTTAAATGCCTAATTGGAACGTAATTGCGTAAATAAGGCATTTCCGTCAGTTGTAATTTAGAAGTAAAAGAGACTGATGCTTTGGCTTGATGCATTTCTGAACGCATCCTAGCTTATCTTTCAATCTTTGTCGTCAAATTTAGCCAACAATTGGGCCAGAAAATGTGCCGTTACGGCAGGATGGGATCAATGGGAAGTGCAAGTCACGGAATAAAATGTTCATTGCCTGTTTGGATAGAGCTTACGGTTGGGCAATCTTCAGGTTATACAATATAGCCGACCAGCCCTAGCTATTATGCCACGTCGTGGAGGGCGGGGTGGCATTAGCGTTCATGGCGCATAATGTCGGAAGTTGTTGTTGTAACAGCATACAAATTCCCCATACAGATTTTGAGGAGTGTTGCTGGAGTGACAGTCCTTGAACAGATATAAATCTGGGTAGCTCCGTAGACCCAAATGTTGTGGGAACGAATGTCGGAAGTCTATTTTCTCTGCCTAAAAAGTGCTATTGGGTAATGCTACTCACTTTGGTGCTGAATCGTTAGGTCCCGTCAATTTGTTTGGGAGACGTTGTGATAGTGTGCGCAGTATATTTTCCTCATGATGGCGCACAACAATGTCCTCATACTCCGCCGCAGAAGAGATGATCTCCAGTAAGCCGCGCACTTTGGTTTTGCTATTCAACGACAAGCTGAAAAGTTCTGAAATGGAAAGTGGTGATTTTTAAACATTGTAAACTTTTCTGGAGTAACTTGAATACAAAAAAAAAAAAAAAAGAAATTGGGGATTAAAAAATTAGCAAGGACAAACACAAATTTTGAACACACATACCAATTGTTGTGTAATTAATGTAATAATATGCAGCAATCATGCCCAGATTAAGCGGCAAAGTATCCATATCATCCTCAATGCTGATGCACTTAGATTGCTCCAAATCGGAGAGAGTATTTTCGACCAACTCTGACAAGTGATCAGAGAGATGGCGATGTGTAACTCCTTGCAAGTTGTAATAGTTCGGATTTTGCGTCAGACGCCTGTATAAGAATGTCCAGGTCAGATAATCAACAGCATCCTGCTTGTTTTCGATTGTTTTCGTGACCACCTCAACATTGAAGTGATCATGCAAACGGTGATCCAAGTGGCTCTCAATTGGCAAGGGCTCATTTATGAATTTTTTGAAGAAGTCCTTCTTCGACGATTGACACATCAGCACACATTTGGCGTCCGCATCTTCAATTGGACGATTAGCGCGTCCGATCATTTGCAGCACATCCGTTATGGGATAGTCCTCATAGGAATGATTCTTGCCGTTGTAGAATTGCGTGTCCATAATAATTACCAAATGCGCTGAAATACTCATGCCCCAGCAGAGATCGCGCGCCACCACCGCCACCTGTACGGCCCCAGAATCAAAAAGTTGCTCCACCAGACGGTGATCGGAGGCTGTTAGCCCCTCGTGTATGTACGCCACGCCCTGAGAAAGTGTTTCCTTCAGCGTCTTGTCAGACATGCGATCCAAGAAGGGCTTGATATCCTCTTCTTCAGCGTGAAAGAAGCGATTCGGCTGCATATCAGATGCACTATAAGTGAGTATGTCAATGGCGGTGAGGCGCGCTTGCTTACGCGACGATACAAAGACAATGACGGGCTTGTGAGGACTGTATTTGATGACTGCATTGTATACGGGTTTAGACATGGAAGCTATGCGAGTGGCATTATGCGTGATGCTATAGCCTTGAATGTGCAGCTCCAGCGGAATGGGACGCACACTCGGATGGAAATTGAATGTGGCATTGGCGTTGCAGCCGAGCCACTGTGCGACATCACGCGCGTCGGCTAATGAGGAGGAGAGTGCCACAATGCGAATCTGTTTCTCAATTTGTGAGGAGATATAACGCATGCGCGAGCAAACTACCTCTAAAACTGGACCATCTTCACCGCCTACCAACTGCAGCTCATCGACTATGAAGAGATTGACTGCTTGCACGNGTATGTCAATGGCGGTGAGGCGCGCTTGCTTACGCGACGATACAAAGACAATGACGGGCTTGTGGGGACTGTATTTGATGACTGCATTGTATACAGGTTTAGACATGGAAGCTATGCGAGTGGCATTATGCGTGATGCTATAGCCTTGAATGTGCAGCTCCAGCGGGATGGGACGCACACTCGGATGGAAATTGAATGTGGCGTTGGCGTTGCAGCCGAGCCACTGTGCGACATCACGCGCGTCGGCTAACGAGGAGGAGAGTGCCACAATGCGAATCTGTTTCTCGATTTGCGAGGAGATATAACGCATGCGCGAGCAAACTACCTCTAAAACTGGACCATCTTCACCGCCTACCAACTGCAGCTCATCAACTATGAAGAGATTGACTGCTTGCACANAGCTTCAAATCGGTGCCAGTTTCACCGGTTAGCTTGACGACTTTGAGTGATAGGCCGCCGAACTTGGCGTGCCAATCGGCAAAAACCAGATCGGCGAGCGCTTCCTTCGACACCAAGTAAACACAGCGGCCCTCAGCTTGCTGCGAAAATAGACGCATAATAGCGAACTCGGCAATGGTCATTTTGCCGGAACCTGTAGGCGCACCGACAAACACATTGTCGTCGCTATTGTAGACTGCATTGAAGACCTGCGTTTGAATTGGATTGAACTGTGGGAAACGTTCAACATAGAACTCCTCGAATTTCGGCTTGCGCAGTGCAGATATGGGCAGCGGCTGCAAATCGAGCAACTCTGTGGGTGGCATATTTTTCTCCGGTAATATTAAATGCCTGAATGATACCGGCAGCTGAGTCTCGGAGCCAATCCAGCGGTCAGACACGATGCGTAGAAAATATTGTGGTGGCAGCGGTTCGAAAACCGGCACAAAAAACTTGATTTGATGTTCGTCTTGTGAATACTTTTCCTTTAGCAAAAAGAATTCGTGATGCAAAATCACCTCAGAATCCACATCTTCAATGAGTATCCAGAATCCCTCAGATAAACCGTGAACTTTCTCGTCCCATTGAAAGTCGGGCGTGATTGTAAGCTCAACGCGCAATGTGGCGCGGGTGATGGGCTGTATATGCGTCGAAAGCTCCAGCTTGGGGAATTGATGCACAAACTTGTGTATGGTCTTGCCCAACTTCGGCACACGTATCAGCTCACCAATCTCATTTGGCTCCAAATCGTATAAGCGCTCCCAAGGGAAATTTTTCTTCTCCAACTTCTTGGCTATCTCGTCGGGCATCTTTTTGAATTGGCGCAGTGGCGTCATAGATTGCCACATGCGGCGGTCGATCATCTTGCAGAGCGTCAGTGTCTTGTCAGCCAGCTGTGCCCAGCCACGATACAGCACAATTTCGAAGATTGCGCGCATTAAACGGGACGCAGATTGAGTTATGAACACCATGTCCGACATCAGTGCAAATCCTTCCAACTTCAATTGCGAGATATACGCTTGCAGTAGTACATTCACCTTGGCGCTGTGCTCCTCCATCGACTCCTTGATGGGTATGGGCACACGTTCCATCAGCTTTTGCAACTCCAATTTTTCTTCTTCACGGACAGCAATGTGCTTGAACTCCGAAGAGAGTGAGAAGACGCGGAATAACTCGATCTCACTGAGCGTCTGCTTTAACAGTTGATTATAAGTCATCATTGTTTCATGTGTGCAGTAATAATGGGAGGCTATGCGTCCCAGCTCGGTCACTTGGAACTGGCCGCTCTTACGATCGTACTTAACGAGGCCGCTGCGATCCAGATGTAGCGAGGCAGTGTGTATAAGATCGGCGCGATGTTGCTCCAGTAGTGGATCGTCGCGTATGGCGTCGTGCGAAACACCATACAAGGTGGGGTTGCGCAACATGCGTATGTAAAGGTAAGTATAGCCAAGCCAATGCACAGCATCTTTCAAATTCTGCACTGTGCCGAGCACGATTTCGGCATTCAACATGTCGGGCATTTTAGAGATGAACTGTGACTCGATTGGAAGCTGCTGATTGAGCAGCGAGAGATAGAACTGCAGTTCGCTGTGGTTTGTGATGAGTATGCCTTCGCCTTTGGTGTCGTACTGCGGACGACCAGCACGTCCCAACATTTGTAGCACATCGAGAGCGCTAAGCTCTACCCAACGACCCTTCTCCGGATTGTATACTTGAGTGCCTTTGATTATAACTGTATGCGCGGGCAAGTTAACACCCCAAGCAAGTGTTGCAGTGGACACTAGGACCTGAATATGACGATCGGCGAAAAGATCCTCCACCAGCGTACGATCGACACGTGTCATGCCAGCATGATGTATGGCGAAACCGTAGGGCAGTAGCTCCTTCAACTCCGTATTCTTCACCTGCTCTGCCTCTGTTCGCAACACTTCCATACTAGCTGATCCCTCGCGCAGAAAACTACCAAGTGTGTCCTTCTCTAAACACATGTCGCGCACTGCACGCGCTGTCTTCCCAGTCTCCTTGCGCGAATGCACAAACACCAAAACCTGATTGCGACCAGCATGCTCCATTGTCTTCTCGTAAACAATTTCGTTCATGACTTGGAAGCGCTTCAACGCCTTCTTTTCAGTCACGCCGATGTATTGTTGTTCCAGCGCCACTGGACGGAAGCTGTTGTCGAAATAGTATAGTCCTTTATCCGGTTTGACGCGCAAGAATGTTGCTACATCTTGATAGTTAGGCAGCGTAGCGGACAAGCCTACCAAGCGTACATCCTCCTGTGTGGTTTCAATATTTCGAATTGTACGGGCCACCAATGCCTCAAGCACTGGACCACGTTCATCATGCAGCAAATGGATTTCATCGATGATGACCAATCGCACCAGGCTTGTAAAGGTCTTTTCTCCTCCCTTGCGTGTGATAATATCCCACTTTTCTGGTGTGCAAACTATAACCTGTGTGGCGGCTATTTGCTCGCGTGTTAGCTGATGATCGCCTGTCAACTCGGAGACAGTTAAATTATAACAAGACAAGCGACGGCCAAAGTTACCCACCATTTCTTGTACCAAAGACTTCATTGGCGCTACGTAGATGATTTTAAATTCATCCACATTAATTGTACCATCTTCATTGATGTGTTTGCCGATTTCACGCATCATTGTTAGTAAGGCTACGTTCGTTTTGCCAGCACCGGTGGGAGCGCATAGCAACATATTTTCATCACTGTCTAGTGCGGCTTTCCACAGACGACTCTGGATACGATTGAGAGTTTTGAAACCTTCAAATACTGGCTGCACATACTTCGGTAGCTTATCAATGGATTGAAGCTCTTCCTTATCTTCGTACGGCACTTGTTTGAGGGCGGGCACATGTACTTCTTCATAGCCTTTGCGTTGCTTGCGGAACGAGCCGTCAGGCAGTTGGCACCTTTTATTTGCCATGAAGTGAGATCCCTGTGTAAAAGCTATCTCCTCCAACTCGAGCACTTGCCGCACTCCAGCCACTTGACCGGCCATGCCTTNGTGAGTAACTGCAAGAAAGGAAAAAATATTACTTAAAAAAAAATAAAAATAATTTATCCAGAGCCTTGTTTACATTTTCTGCGTGTAATGTATGATCTATGCGCGCTTCCTCGCCTTCCTCTTGGCCATCTTCATCACGTATTTCACCGTGCATGTCGTTATCACTTTCTTCTTCTGACTCCTCAAACTGCACATTGATGCCATAAGTCTCGTCTATTTGCTCCTCATTGCCAGCAATACTCAAGGCGTTTACGGCATCCGAGCCAAAATCAGTGATTTTCTTGCCAAGATTTACCAGCAAAGCAAATCTGAAGTAAAATGTATATAAATATTTAGAATGAAAGCGTTAGTTTATATCATTTATGCTAACCGTTCGTCGGTTACCGATCCCAGCAAACTATCTATTTCTCGCTTTCGCTCACGATCTTTTAGCTTGTCATTTTTCAGCACCGCCAAAATTTCATCAGCCGCACCGCAAAGAATGTCACGCGGCTGATCACCTAAAGCTTCTTGTATGAAACTTAGCAGCACCTCATATGTCTGTCGAGTCTCCTGCGTTTTTGGGCGGTACACAATGCCTACCATTTCATCTATACCCTCCGACAATAGCGTAGCTCCTTTCATGCGCTCAAAATCATACTGGGCTTCATCACGCTTTTGTCGTTTCGCTTTGCGTTCTTCCATTTTTTCAGGCTTTGTACGCTGATAGCGGTCGCCCATGCGTGTTCCCTCCAACTTGCCCACTAGCGAGACTACCTCCCCGGTGGCCTCATCGCGACGCGGACGTTCAATGAGACGTACATCAGCTTGCAGGACAAGATTGGAATTCTAGTCGAAGGAATATATTAGTATTGTTTTACTGAAAATCCCGATATAAATTAAGCGTTTAGCAGCGTCTTGTAACACCTTGTGCATCTCGCAACTAACATTGCTATTTGGTACGCTTTTTTCCTCCAATCTGGATACTTACGGCTTTATATTCATATTGTAGCTGACGAGCTGCTGCATCCGCCATTGTGCCAAGTGGATTTTTCTAGCTGAAATGCACAAATATTACAGAAAAACTAATTTTTCAACCAACGACAACAATTTTTCACTTTTCCAGAGGCTGTTTTTTTCATTTGCTGTCAAATGTCATCTTCAATTTTACTTTTATTCCATTCTCGGTTTTGGTTTTCGAATAGTTGCATTTTTTGGGATTAAATAGCATATAACAGGATTGCAAAGTCCCAAACCGGTTCAACGCCTTCTGCGAAGCGCACATTGGCGCGATTCTGTCGTTGCGAATACGTTGCGAGTTCGGCTGTTAACTTCGAATCCGCAAACGTGCGCACACTTGAGCGATTTTTTCGCGTCGATTTCCGATGTACAATTCACTCAATTTTCCCTTTATTTCGTGTATTTTCGCACTCGGCGTGCCCAAATCGTACAAAATACTATTATTACGAACGTTTTTATTAGTTTTTGTACATTACACGTTTTTTTTCTTTGCCTTTATTGCTGTGACACCTTTCTTCTTCTTCTTTGACGCCTTCAAAACGCTGCAAGTCGCGTTTCGAACGCGTCAATAGAGAAGAACATTGAATGTTCGAAAAATTCGCAGCGACGGAATCGTGCAAGTGTGCGCTAGCGCATTAAAATGTATGGGTAGCATTGTTGTAATTTTTGGGCTTGCGGATTCGCAACGACAGAATCGCGCCAATGTGCGCTTCGCTTTCTACATAATAACTGGTTCATGGCTAGCGCGTTTTAACAAAGAACGTAAATCTACCTTCCGTAATTTCCGTACCTACGTAATTTACCTTCTTTGATGAATACACGGAAAAAAAGAAAAACATTAATTAATGATTAATTTTTTGCAACAAATATTTTAACAACTCTGGCTAAATAAACAGCTGATTTGTAGCGAGCGATTCGCAACCCTGTGTGGTTATCAACGAGCTGCTAGTTGGCGTTCAACTGACAGTTGTGAAGTGGGTACTTTTTTCTTAACTGTCTTTCTCGTGCCCGAGGTTGGTGCTGACTTTGTAAGTGCATTTAATTTTAATTTAATTGCTATTTAATTATTCCAAAAATCCATTTATTGGTCAAAATCTTACCGAGAACTGTATTTTTGTAAAACACAAACAATCAAAAAGGGGGAGTTAGCTGCATAAGTGGGACCAAGTCTAACAGATCATGTGCTAATTATTCGTTATGTAACCTCAACCGAAAAATTACAAATCGGTATATGAGGCATAACTTCGGCAACGACCTTGTGCAGAATTTCTTCTAAACTACTCTTTCTCTTTTCATTCCAGTTTTTAAAGGAAATCACCGAAACAGGGAAAAGTAACATAATCCACAATGTTCTCGTCACTGTATGAAGCTGCCAAAAACTCCCCATTCCGGACGCCATTTTCCAAAGTCCAATGCGACAGCACCGGTAAGTCGGGCCCTGTGTCCGGACGCCAGATTCAGGCAGCTTCAACTCCTACTGGTGATTCGTGCGAATTCGGCAGCAACAAATACTATGCCCTCTGCGGTGTCGGCGGTATCCTGTCCTGCGGTACTACGCACACCTTCGTCGTACCGTTGGATTTGGTGAAGTGCCGACTCCAAGTTGATCCCAAAAAGTACAAGAACTTGATCAATGGCTTTAAGCTTACTGTGGCTGAAGAAGGCGCACGTGGTCTGGCTAAGGGCTGGGCTCCAACATTCATCGGCTACTCGGCACAGGTGAGTGAGTGGGCGATGTAAATTAGTGATAGGTGCATGATTGGCAACACTGGAATGGGAGTTGGAAACAAGCAAAACCAAATAATGTGTCTCAAGTATTTTTGCTGATGGTACCATTCGTTGTTTATTGAAGCGTGGAAGTCAGAATAAACGCAAACGAAAAGTATGGCGTCGAGGTTACACAATCCATTTTCATTATTGGTTTATTGATTTTTAATGCTAAAACGATTACAACTTATTTCTTGCCCCCAAATTAGGCCTCAATCAAGTATTTATAGTTTTTATTTCCTTCATAAAAACAACAAATGTTTGCTTTGCTTATCTCCCACGCATTTTGGTGATTAATTTTTATGCTCATTAGTTTTTGTTTTAACAACATAGTTCCTCGCTTATCAGCGTCTGCATTCTGCGGTAGTGTATTTAAGAAACGCGGCGTCATCAATTTAAATTGTTATCATGTGAGAATTGTTTGTGTAAACCATTTCTATCATATACAAAGTGGTACCCAAGTTAAATATTTGCTGTTTATTTTTAATTATTAATTTTTTAATTATATAACTTTATTTTTGAATAAGTATCTAGTAAAATTTGTTTTAAAGCAACACGTATTCGCTAGTTTTTTTTTTAGTTTTAATTTGAATACAAGATGATTTACAAACGTGTATCCATATTTGTTTACTACTTAGGGACTGTGCAAGTTCGGCTTGTACGAGGTCTTCAAAGTGTACTACGCCAATCTGTTGGGAGAAGAGAATGCCTACT